GGACAGTCCACAGTCACACTGTACAGTCCACAGTCACAGGTACAGTCCACAGTCACAGGTAGTTATGAGTTAGTAGTCTTCAGAAGCATCTTTCTGGTTTCACGGGGTTTCTACATACACTGAGTGTGTTGTGTTGTGTTTTCTAAACAGTGTAGCCACAAACAATATGTGGAATTAGCAGACCTTGAGAAGAAGTGGAAAAATTTGTGCCTGCCAGTAGAAAAGTTTAGAGCGATCCTGGATCTGGATCCGTGTGAAGACAAAATGGAGTGGATCAAATTTTTAGCACTTGCATGCAGCTCTCTGGGTGGGGTATGTAACTACATCTTAATAGCATCTTATGTTATTTCATGATCTGTGTGATTCTATGTCGGACTGGGTTTTAGGTGCTACAGAAAACATGTTGATTATCTTATTAACTAATTTGTTTTCTCAGACTTCAGTTATGTGGTTAAAAACCACAATTTGGATGATGTTAAGAGTGGAGGAGATGTGTGGGATGCACTTGGAATACATTTAGGTTTTCAAACGGCATCTACCAATGAGTTCTTTTATTGTACAATATAATTTTGAAAGCTGGTAACAGTTTTCTTTATCTGTGGGAAGAGACATCAAATTCTATTGCATTTGACTTATAATCCAGTATTAATAGCTAGTAAATATGACAGAACGTTGCTGTCATTACAATATAACTCTAACAATTTAGGAATAGATAGCAGGATGACTGATTGGATGGCCCTCAGTTGAAGAGCAATGGCCTTTGTGAGCCTGGAATTTAGGCATGAGGTGGGTGGAGGCTGCGGCGGGAGGATGTGGGCGGAGCCTCCTAGGGAGGCTGGAGTCGATGAGCCTGTGGTTAAGTGAAGGGAAGGGATACTTGGTGTTTGTGAAGAAAGGGTTTTCAAAAGGGGAAACAGCCTTTTGTTTCCTGTCTGGACACATATGTTATATTGCTTCTTCAATCTTTACAGTTCTGACCATCTAACTGAACATGACTCGTCATCTTTCATGTTCCATTCTTCGACAGTAGGGTGCTGGAGATCCTGTTAGCCTCTCAATGGAGAACTGTCTCTAACTCAGTCCCCCTGGAAAGGCAGTGAATACCCTTAACCACTGAGCGAGCTCCTGTCCCTTCTTTCTCCAATGTCAATCCGTGTGCAAGTTTCTTTTCACTTTGTGAAGAGTGACTCTGCATCCAACGGCACCGAGATGTTGACAGTAAAATCCTAGCTGCAAGTGCCCTCTCCCACACCATCCTGCCTGCCTGCCTGCCATCTCTCTGCTTTCTCTGGTCCTTTGTCTTAAATTTCCCAAATGCCCCAGGAAGCACACCATCAGAGCTGGTTTTCCCTTTATGATGAGAAAGCTAGACAGGTGTCTCCTGGAATGTCATTCCTAGTGGCGTTGTGGGTACCTTTGTCTGCTGTAGTTTATGCATGGCCTTGGTTGGCCAGGTGCCTGAATCTACTGCAGCTTGGGCTTCAGCAGAGGAAAGCCTGTCCCTTCAGAGAAGGCAAGTGTCTAACTGGTGGCCACATGCCCAGCAATTGTTGGGTATGTGGTTTATGGTCAGCTTTGGACTCATTGTGCTGAGGCCCAGACACTGACAAGTATTCTCAGAGGGGCTGTGGTGCCCAGTGGAGTGTTCCTTGGAAAGACAAGGTAAATATGATTATTAGACAACCTGCCAGTGTGCTCATCAGGAACTCTGAAGTTAACGTGAAATTAGCATAGAATTAATATCTAACATTCAGGGTTAGTGTTGACAGTTTATGCCTCTTAAAAATAGGTGTAACGATTTGCTCCTAACAAGAAAGAACAGAATAATTCATGATTTTGGATTTATCTAGGTCATGAAAACAAGTCCAAGCCATGTACAGCAAGCAACACTAGGTGTCGCCATTTTGTAAAGGAAGGCGTGTCATCTGCCATGATCACATCAAAACGGGTCCTGTTTATTGTATGCTACTTTGTTGTTAGAAAGTAAATTTACACCAGAAAGCACACTGGTCACAGAGGGGTCCTTCCTGTCCCCTAGCCTAAGTCTTCTTTAGCATTAACTGTGTTGCTTGCCTTCTATTCTCTTAAGTGCCCAGTACCACATCGGCTCTAGGCTCAGGCTCAGGGTCTGCTGGGAGCATTGAGCCTTTCCTTCCACTGGACCGTATGGGAATCTGTTCTTCCCCTCACTCTCTACTCCTCAGTGCGTGGAGAGTGAACTCTGTTCCAGCATGGGCTGCGAAGGCAGGGAGGTACTTGAGCCCAGCAGAGCCGCTAGCACACTGACAGCACAGTTGCCTGTGCAGACCCTTGTGGAGCCTGTGTTACATGGGGCTCTGTGGCCCAGACATGCACAAGCATACAGTAGGGATGGTATTCTAAGAACTATATCTCTAAGGGAGAATTGAAGAAGCGAGCTGGGAGGTGTATTGGGTGCTCTTATTGCTATACCATCTCCCGTCAGGAAGTAAAGTGCACAAAGACAGATACTGGCTCACGGCTTGACATGCTATTCCATCATTGTAGGCAAGGCATGGCGGCTTCAGTGGCTGGCTCCATGGTGGCAGGAAGGCAGGTGGTGAGTGTTCACATATCCTAGGATCAGAAAGAGGAGACTTCCAGCTCAAATTGACCCCTCTCAGAAAGCCACTTCCTCTAGCTTCTTGTAGCTCAGTCCTCCTCCTAAAGGTCTCAGAAGCTCCCAAAATGGCACCAGCAGCTGAGGATCCAGTGCCATGCAGGAAGAGCAGAGTGGTGGCTTATTGCCTGCTCATGATGTGTCCCCTGGATGCTACGGAGCTGGCACTTAGATCATTCTAAGCTCTGTGTTTGTTGGCTTCTGTCCACCCTATGCCCTTGTGCCCTCAGGCTTCTCGTGGAGCCATTCTAACCAAACAAACTGAGATTCTTGGAAGGAACAAAACTCTTAGGAACAGAACAAAAATGGCTATCTACCAATGGAAAGTCCAACAGTCCAGTAGTTATTCAGTCCATGAGGCTGGGTGTCTCAGCTGGTCTTCAGTATACTCTAGAATCCCAAAGAAGTTGGTTCTGAAGCCAATGGAGGAACAGACTCGCCAGCTGGAGTGAGAGAAGCAGGCAGAGAGGTCCAGCTTTCTTCCTGCAGGCCCTCCTGCAGGCTTCCAGCTGAAGGCAGTCAGATTAAAGGGAGATCTTCCCACCTCAAGAGATGCAGAGTAAAAGCCAGTATGTCACCCTAGCAAATGATTTAATTAAGGAAAAAAAAAATCCTGGGGGCTGGAGAGATGTCTCAGTGGTTAGGAGCACTGACTGCTCTTCTAGAGGTCCTGAGTTCAATTCCCAACAACCACATGGTGGCTCACAACCATCTCTAATGGGATCTGATGCCCTCTTCTGGTGTGTCTGAAGGGAGTAACAGTGTACTCACATAAAGTAAATAAATCTTTAAAAAAGAAAAAAGGAAAAAAATCCCTCAGCGGCATACCCAACACTTAGGTTTTAGTTAATTCCAGATAGTCAAGTTGACAACCAAGAACAGCCACCACATCACCCAAAGCAAATTTAAATCTGCTCCCTGGGATGTCTGGCAGCAAAGTCATTGTTCTGACTGGTGCTGGCTAGTTTACATCAGCTTAAGGCAAACTATAGTCACTTTGGGAAAGGGAACCCCAACTGAGAAAAAGCCCTCACTAGATTGGCACCTGGTGCATTTTCTTGACTAATGACTGGTGTGGGAGGGCCTCCTCACTGTGGGCAGTGCCACCCCTGGACTAGTGGTTCCTACATGCTGTAAAAAAGCAAACTGAGCAAGCTCTGGGCAGCAGGCCTGGAAGGAGCAGGTAAGCTTGTAAGTCTCCAGGCTTTGGCATTAGTGGCTGCCTCCAGGTTCCCGGGGGAGCATTTGAGCTCCAGCCCTGAGTCTTCTCATGTGGAATGTAAGCAAACAAAAGGGGTCTTTTCCTCCAAGTTTCTTTTGGTCATGTTTTACTCACAGCATAGAAACCCTAGCTAATACGCTATGCTGCCTCAGTACAGAAGAAACGAAGGAGACTTGGTTCCTGGATATATATTTTTTTTTTTAAGGTAGGAATCTATTATGGACTTTTTTTCTCCATTTTTTTTTCTTTTTCAACAAGGATTAATTGAGCAAGAGAGAAGTGTTTGAGGCTTGGCCATACAGTACAACTCTGCACCCTTGTTCCCGGTCCATCAGTTGCTGCTCTGCAGGCCTCCAGGGACGACCAGAAACCTGTCCCTGGGGTTTCAGAGCGTGCTCAGGATAGCGGTCTGGTTGCAGGTGGAAGGTAGAGTGCAGGTCAAGTTAGGTTACCATCTTGGGGAGCTGAGAGGTAGGCAGGTCTGGGAGAGGAGTTTCCTGGACCTGACAGAGTCCTAAAGCCTTCTGTGTGAGTGAGGTTGAAGCCCGGGCTGCAGGGACACTGGCAGATACACAGGGCCATCTGTCTTGCCAACCGCGCCCTCTTCAGGGGCAACTCAGACGGGCACTAGGCCCTGTGTCCCTGTGTCTGCACTCGGTCGGGCTGCACTGACTAAAGGTTATGGTTAAATGACCCTATACTCCAAACCCAGAACCACAGGGAGGAAGCTGATGATTAAAGATAATATGCTTCTCTTGTCTGGGACAGCTATCCCCATTTCGGTGTAAATCTGTGAATCACTGTGGCTGCTCTGCTGCACCCTGGTCAAACCATCCTTCTTGCTTTACAAGGTGGAACCTTCGCCTCCATTTGGATCTTCCCTGAGGGTGGAGAGCATGCTCTGAAGAACGTTTACAGAGCACACTTGCATTTCTGTCCCAGGTGTTGGCTTGGCATCTCTGTGACTCTGAGACTGACTGTGTCCCGTCCTTGTCCCTTTCCCCATCCAGTCCCTGAACACAGCTATGAAGAACGTGTGTGAGATCCTCACCTCTGACCCGGAGGGCGGGCCTGCTCGCATTCCCTTTGAAACTTTTGCCTACGTTTACCAGTACTTGTCTGCACTGGACCCAGAACTCCCGGCCTCGGACACCGAGGACTATCTTGCCAATTTAAGAGAGAAGTCGTAAGTACAGTACTCTGTGGGTTTCTGGTGTGTTGACAGTCGGAGAATCTCCTCCATTCACCTCTCTGTGCTGAGAATTTGCCCCTGGTGGAAGGCAAAGATGTCCATCTTGATTCCAACAGTCTTGCAGGGGAGCTGTCTATCAGAGACCATAAGCAAGCGAGCCACCACCTCTCAGCTTGTCGTCTCAGTGTCAGCCAGGATGGGGACTTAGATTCGATCTTCCTTGACTTTAGACGGAGAAAATGTCTCTTGTCACAAGAAGAGCTTGATTCTGCCAGAGTTTTAAACAGTAGCTCATTAAAAAGGGACACAGATGGAATTAACGTCACCAGTGCATGTAACATAGAGGTGACTTGCGGCTGTGGCTGAGCCTGGCTGCAGCCCATGGATGCTGTGTTACCCACACCATTGTTGATTTGAAGAATTGGCACATGACATGTATACACTGTATCTCATGCTGTCAGCACTGATAGAATGCAGAGAGTGAGCCAAGGTCCTCTGGTGCTCTTAACTTCACTCATGGCCGTCGTGAGCTAGTATCTTCTCTCTCTAGTACGTGGTCTGAGGTGCCCACCCCTGAGACGTTCTATTCCTATGCTCTGTGGATATGGGTGGAAGTCCTGTCACCTTCGTCTGAGAGGACTGTTGCGTCTATGTGGGAAGCTCATACATTCTTTAGGTTAGGTCATTCCTCGTGCTCCCCAGGGTTATCCTGAGAAGTGTGGCTCCATGACACTGATGTGTGGAGGAGAGGGGGCTGGCGAGCAAAGCCAAATATGGCGGCTGAGGAGGGTGCTGACTAGGAGATAGAAGTGCAGTCTGTGGCTTGCTGTGTGTGGCTGGCTGCAGGGAGGGTGGGGAGGTGGGCAGGACGCGTGAATAGGGATAGGTTAGTGTTCTAAGGGGGGCAGCTGAAGAGAAGGACTCTAAATGGCCATGGGAGAGATCTCAGCTTGTCCTACCAGGTCCTCATTAGCACCCACCTTGGAAAATCCCCCCTGTAGTGGTTCAGAGAAGGCTTATGGGCCTGGCTGCCCAGGTAACTGGATGCCTGGCAAAGCAACTGTTGATCTTCCAGTCAGTGCTCTTCGGGTGCTTGGAGTGACCAGCATGGGGTGGAGGTATGGCGTGTGGTGAGCACCCAGAAGCCAAGGCCAGGCTGCCTGGGCTGCCCCGCCTCTCTGGCCCTCCCTCTTCAGCTTGTTAATTAGGTTTCTCCTTTTTAAATAGAGGGAACTGTTGCTTCTATGTCTGCCTATTGGGAATACATTTATCTACCCCACAATTCATCCATTTAGCCACCCAGTTGCTGCCTGCTTGGTTCTGACAGCATATGATATCCCTTGATTGCTATACCTCTGTTGACAGTGGTGCTGGGCTTGATCTGTCCTAGCTTTGAGGCACAGAGAGATGAGTGGGCTCTGCCATTCTGGTTCCCTCTGGCCTATGTAGAAGAGAGAGAGTTAGGCTGGGGTGGGCAACAGGGAGCATTCTGACTAGAGTGAGTGGGAGGCATGGGAAGGTTGGAGGGGTCACTTGCCGTCTCAAGAACCATGGTGCGCTGTGATCACTGCTAAGCATAAAGTCGCTCCCAAACATGGATGGTTTTTGTTGTTTGTTGATTGGTTGTGTGAGACAGGGTTTCTCTGTATAGCTCTGAATGTCCAGGAACTCTCTGTAGACCAGACTGGCCTTGAACTCAGAGATCTGCCTAGGTCTGCCTCCTGAGTCCTGAGATTAATAAAGGTACAGCACAGATGTTTTACCCGGAAATAAACATCCATTGTTATATGAGAAAATAGAGCTGTCCTGCTCAGAGTTGTTTGTTGGCAGGAGTCTGGTGAATTGTAAGTGCCAGTGTTTGAGAGAATCTTGTTAAATGGCATCCTGTAAAAGATAAACAATGTTTCTAATGTCCTGTCTGTTTCCCATCCAGAGAATCTAGAAAGAATGGCATGATAGGACTTTCGGACTTCTTCGTTGGAAAAAAGTCAATATAGGAAGCCTTGAAGAGAGAGCTCTGAGGAACAGAGCGTTACTACAGAGAGGAACACGTTTAATGTTGAAGCAATGCTTTTGAAAAACCTTGGCGCCAAATACAGCTTGTCATTACCTTGTGACTTGTGACTTGTGAGTTTTTCTCAGTGGAACGGGTGTGGCAGGTGCTCACGGGGCCACTGAGTCACTGCTTCCTGCTGTACCGTGGAAGGACTAAAAAAGTGGAGACCTCACAGTGGGGGCGAATCGGTTTTGGTAAACTGATCTGGAGAGAGTGGGTGGGAAGTTTCCAGAGTCCAGCCCTTTCCTGCCTAGAAGAATTCTCCACAGACACTTGGCTCCGCAGTGCTGAGAATCCCCCAAAAGTGGGGCTTTTGGGACATGAGCATTCACAGCTGGAAAAAATTTCTAACTTTGATGAAATGTATATATATATAAGAAACTATAATGTTGATGCTATTTCTGGTTCTTCCTCCCAGTTCCATGCTCCCAGAAATAAGATGTAGACTCCAAGTATCTTTATAAATACCATGGCCATATAGCTAGGCCCTTCTCCCATTTATTCTAGCCTACACTCTGTCATGTGGCTGGTTACCTGTGCTCAGGGACCATACATGTGTCTTGTCACGTATTCCCGGTGTATTGTCCCTCCCCGGCTCTCTCCCAGAATCTTTTTTCTCTCTTGGGAATGTCACACCTCTCTTTCCTGCCTAAGCCAAAGGCTTTTTAACTGACAGGCGCTGCATCCATATAATACACAAGATATCCTCTTTGCACAATGACTTTCCAAGAACTGGCTCAAGAAGTCACAGAGTTGGAGTGGGGCTGGGGTAGACTGAGACAACAGTTTCATTTGGGAATGTAACTCAGTGGTAGAATGTTGAACCACCGCTGTGGGCCACCGACCCCGGCCTTGGAGGACCACCACATGCATGCACAGGCTTGCTCAGACAACTCTACAGCTCCAAGTCAGGCCAGTCACTAGGTGTTTCGTAAAATCAATTTTGGAAAACATCTCTCAGATCTCAGACCAGACAATTCATGTTTCAGGGAGAAATCCACAGGCCCAGGTCCCTCAGAGCATAACTTCCAAGGCCTGTTTGATCGTACTACATAATGAGCAATCACCACAGGAAAGCTAGGGCCTGGGTGTCCAAAGTGCAGGGCTCAGCTCAAAGTGATTTCTGGGGGCCTAGGGGTGGGAAGATCCAGAGGCTGAAACAACGACCCCAAAGGAAACCAGTATAAGGCAGTTGTCAAGCCCAGAAAGCAAGGCCCTGAGCTGTTGTCTAACTTTTTGATGCAGGATCTCTTTGTCTCCCCGAAAGATCTAGTCACTATGTAGACCAGGCTAGCCTTGAACTTAAGTTTATCCTCCTGCCTGTACCTCCCATGTACATCTCACCAGGCTCTGTGAGATCATTTTAAAAGTTTGTGTTTTAAGATCTCAGCTTGGTTGTGCTCTCTAGATGTTCAGGCGTGCGGTATCAGGAAGGCTCGGGTGCTGGAGCTGTTGTCCAGTATGGTAGCGTATTCAGGAGGGAGCATATCAAGGTGACAGGACACTGAAGCAGTCACATCCGCAGTCAACACAGAGAGGGACTGGACGACCTTGTGCCCACTCAGTTGCGTTTCTCTTGTATATATCTACCACACAAACCCACAGAATGGTGTTGCCCACTTCTGGGCTGGATTTTCCTCATATCAGTTAACGTAATCAAGACACTCCCCCCACAGACATTCCCACAGACCAGCCTGAACTATCCGATCCCCCAAGGAGACCTTTCCCAGGCAGAGCTTGATTGTGTCAAGTTGAGAAAACTAACCGTCACAGATGATGTCAAAGAGTTAGTCCTCAGAGTACTGGGGCTACTGTCACTGTTGGTGCTTGTATTGGCTTAGAGGGTCTAGGTACATCATAGCACATGCTGGTCACAAAAGCAATCCTCCTGCATCAGCTACTGGGGTGCTGAGATTTGCAGGTGTGCTGAGACGGTTACTACGAGATGAAGCTGCAGCTGTACTTCTGCTTCTCCATGCTGTGACATAGCCAGGAGTGCCAGCCTCAGAACCAGAAACCAAACAAACCCTCTCTGCAATAAAGGACTAGCGTGGGGCGTTTTATTACAACAGAACATGACAAACCCGGAGTTAGGAGTGGACAAGGAGCTGAATGTCAGTACTTACTGATGGGACCACACAGGAAACCTTCTGGCCCCCAGTGGTTTCCTGTGGCTGCTGCAACAAATTAACACCTCAGTGTTTTGCTTGGAAATAAGAGGCAGTTACCCTCACACTATCTGAGTCCCATATCAAGAACCAAGGTACTGGTGGTTATGCTCCTGTGAAAGAGGGTGAGGCTGCAGCTCCAGAAGACGGGGCTTCCCACCTCAGGATCCAAAATCATCACTTGACTTTTCTGTATTTTCCCTTGTCATGGAGGTTAGGCTCTATCACCCTTTAAAAAAAAGCTTTATTACATGTGCGTGTTTACACTTGTGTTTGCATGTAGGTTTGTGTGTGTGTGTGTGTGCCTAGCTATTAAGGGACAACATGAGTCAGTTCCTTCCATCAGGTAGGTCCTGAGGATGGAACTCAGGCTATCAAGCTTGGTGGCAAGAGCCATTACCCACTGAGTAAATGTCTCATGGCCCCATCTCTTGATTACCCCCTTTCTAAAGACAACAATCAGGATCCAGGGGTCAGGATATATCCATATCTCTGTGAGGAATACCCTTCAATATGTCATGCCCCTTAACTATACTTAAACCTTTCAGAAGAATGACTAACTTCCCTCTCTTCCTCCATTGCTGGACCACTCATAAGCCCTGCCTATTGGAGATCCCTTTGACAGCATGCCAACAGACATGGTGTCTGGGTGTACCAGGCCACTCCATCTTCTCCCAACCCTTCTAAAATGGGCCTGTCTCTCAAGGACTCTGCTTTAGGAAATGTGCTAAAAATATAGCCAGGATTACCTTTAGTCAGGTACAGTAAGACAGCGAAAGAAATGACTGTGGGGAGAGACAGGTTTCTAGATACAGGAGGCACATCACCCACACAGGGTCACAGGGACTTTCAGGAAGCAGAAGAGAGAAGAGAGCTGTGATCTGGACCAGTACGTCATTCCTCAGTGGCAGGTTCCCAAGAGAGAGGTGGCCAGGGCATGAGAAGATAAGGAAATTTGGGATCAGTGGGTCTTGCACAAGCTGATGGCTCGTGTAAGCAAGTTTATTAAGAGATGTGGCATCTTACAGTTTTCCTAAAAAAAAAAAAAAATAGGTCAGTGTCAGCAGAAGCTATTGTACAATGGGACAGAGTCAGCAAGAAGCTAATCAATGTTGCACAAAGGGAACACAAGCTACCTCAAGGGCACAGAGACCAAGCACACAGCAGCCTTGGGACTGATGACGATAGCACCATAGGGTGGGAAGTGTAGGGTTCTCAGGATCCAAAGCCACAGCCCCGCCTGGGACCTGTCCCCAGGCCATTACTGGCCTTACCAAGAATATACCTGGTCTTAGTTCCTTCTCCATACATCAGGAAAAGCCCAGGACTGAGCCAGGTCCAGCCTTGAAGCAAGGATGGGGGCAGGAGAGAGACACCACGGAAGCTTAGGGATGGAGTGAATGATTTCAGTGAGCTCTGGGATTCAAGGTGGCCCCTAGGGTACGTGCTCCCTGGAGCTGGGTGGCTGGAAGGCAGGGAAGACAGGCTTGTCTCCAAACTCGGATCAGCGAAGTACAGAAGATAGCTGGAGTGTGGCCGGTGCCTGTGGTCCCAGCACTTGAAGGCAGAGGCAGGAGGAGTCTGAGTTCCAGGCCTGCTGATCTGTATAGCGAGACCTGGGTAGGGGAAAGGAGGTAAGAAAATAGGAAGTAGTTTATGCAGGGAGGAGAGAGCCCTTCTGTGCGATGGCCTCCCAGAAGCCTGGAGCTCCTTCATGCTGGGTTCTGATCAATTCTGTCACTTTGCAGAGGACCCTGCAACCTGGCCCACTAGAGGGTTGCCAATATGATCATGAGAATTTGGCAGAGGTAGCCTCATTCTGTGGCTGTTGGGTTTCTGAGGGCCAAACGGACCTCTCTCGAGCCAGTGGTGCATGTTACACAATGACCCCAGAGCTGGCTTGTGGTGCAGTCTGTTTGACAGAATTTGGAATGATATTTGATTCCATCTGCCTTGTCTGGAGCTGACAGTGTGGGTAGCACAAACCCATTTCCCTTCCTCACTGAGGCTGCCCACAGGTCTCAGAACTGCTGGCCAGTCAGGCTGGCTCTGGTCCACTTGTAATGCTGTATCTCTGGGCTGGGGAGGCAGATTTGGATAGGAGTTTTGTGGACCCAAGTTCATAGCAGCCAATAGCCTCCAAAATGAAATTCTGAACAAGGAGGCACTTACATTATATTTAAAGAACAATAAAACAAAAAACACTGGCCATGCATGGTAGTATATACATTTAATCCTATCAGTTCTTTGTGAACTTGAAGCCAGCCTGTTCTACATAGTAATACCCTGTCTCAAAAAGAAAAAAATAAAAAACCCGAGAATGGTATTGGCGTAATAAGACACACTCATCCATTATATGGTTAAGCCAGCCCCAGGCTTTTGTGTCTCCTAATGGCCTTTTCCTATAAGGAGGGTCTTGGCAATGGTCTCCTCAGAGTTGAAAACCATAGTTTATGACCATGTGGTTTGGGCAGCCACAGTAATCTACCACAGCCTGGGTAGTGCCAACAAAGTCTCTGAGGTTGGGCAGGGCTGGTTTTCATGATGCTGTGACTTTTCCTGGATAGATGCCAACAAAAGTCTGCTTCCACCCCCAGATAGAACATGAATTGACAACAGACCAAAGCATGGCTCCACCCAAGGTCAGCTTGGAGAATCAATGAGGTTTCTGGGTTACCACAGGTGGTGGCTCATGAAAGGGGCTCCCTGGAGCTCCCTGGCTGACTTTAAAGCAGCATGGCCAGTTGGAGAGTCTCCTATTCCCAGCAATTATTATTTATATAACCCTGAGAAGGGGCATCTTGAGTCCTGTAAGTTTCAGGAGCCCCTGGACCTTGCATGACTCACTTACTTCCCAGGAATCTGGGTAGAGCCTCTCTCTTCACTCCAG